AAGCTATTTGTCAGCCTGACGAGGTCCGCATCCTAAGCGGACGTTTTGCAAGGGAGTCGCCCACGCGATCTCCAGATCTAAATCCTGCTGACAACTGGTTGCGGTGGATCCTTAAATCGCGCTTTTACCGTCATCATCCGAGCGACCTCTGGGCATTGATGCATGTTCTCCACCACAAAGTTCTGCTCATCCGTTGGGACCAACTTCGAGGAGCTGAGTCCAATTCCCCCCGGCGAATTGCGAATGTCATCCTAGCATGTTGCTCTGTTTCGAATGTTCTGGACCGTTTGCGATAGTCAAGATACGCTACACTAATCGCGGTCCTTTCTTGAAGTTTATTCCAAAGTATCAGCTGCTCCACACTCATGTTACACCGAACTGTTCAGATGAAGTTTACGAACCGATTGATACCATATACGGCACCAGAGTCACGTTTAAGCGGCTTTTTAATCGCTCAGTACTTCATACTCATCATCTATTGCCATTAGTTAAAGGTGAGGTTGTTTCTTTGGAACTGAATTTTTCTTGTGAGCGACAAAATTTATTTGGTGGTTCCTTAAGAAGCTATTTTGAACATAAGCCGACTTATTCTTCACGAATTCAGATGAAGACACTCAGCTTTGATCTGATGATCAAAATGCAGTTCTGATATTTAGAGTAATTCCTGTAGGAAGAATGTTCTCAAAAAAGTCTCATCAGGGAACTTTCACTTTACAATGACAAAAAACAGTCCGTATCTTCGAAATTTATGGATCCCAAGATCAGCTTCACTCAGTCTGGTTCGAAGACGAGGTAGACGACAATTTTTTATCTTTTAGAATACGAGATTTTGATAGAAATTCGCTAAAAGCATCGAAAAGATGTTCTAGGAGTTCACCCCCCCCCCCCCCCCCCCCCCCCCTCCCCCACTTTCTCCACCCACGCTACGCTTATGTTCAATATGATTTTTGGCATATATGTTGCAGTTGTGGAGCTGAACATATGGAGTATATTTAATGAAAATCCCAGGAGGATAATATTTTAAATAAATCAAATCAAAGGTCACCATCTCTCTTGCCCTTATTGGATGCCATTAACCGCAATAACACTAACTGATATAGCCAAAAGGGTAAAACCAGACCTCTAAAGAGAATCATAAATCATCTCTCTGAGTTAATTGGAGAGAAGCCGTAAAGGTAATGATGGACAATGGTGTCGCCAAGTCATGAAACATGCCACGTTTTCAAACGTATGCATGACCCCATTACTTGAGAGCTAAGGGATGGAAGATGACAAAGATGACTTACGTTTCAGAGCGTTAACCCAAATTTAATATTTAAAAAAGAAATTTTTTCCCACATTGCTTCGACGAATAATAATCTTATATTAAGTCCACTTTGTGTCCCTTCATTTTTGAAAATTGCATTCATTAGTTCTTAAATTTTTAAACACTTAGTGTTTGTGAAAAAGAAGATCGTAAAGGGTTGGTGTAAGGTTTCTTGGAATGTACAGACGGCCGTAGCATGCAAACTATGCATCCTAAAGCTTTAATATTTGGTGGGAACATAATGAGACCTTGGGGGCGAGGAGTATAGAGCCAACCGAAGTGGCCACCGGGGGAGCTATACTGTTAAAGTTGGAGGTGCCCCACTATACACAATAGGCTTTATATATCCCAAAAGCCTATTGTCCCCAAAAAAAAGTCTGCTCGGGGTGATGCAGGGTGAGCGAAGCGGCCACTTGTTCGGAAAATGACGTCCGATCATCTGGTCCCCAAAGGACTCCTGCAAAAGTGTTCTCACTGTCCATGAAATGTAGGGAGGAACCCCATCTTGCATGAAGACCGTCTCTACTGTCAGACTGACGCCTAACAGGACAGTCAGGGGTTTTATATCATTCCATACATGCGGCGCACGAAAATTTCGCGGACAGAGGCTCTTCCTATTCGCCGTTTTCGATGACCTTGCAGTCCTCTTCCGCCATGGTGTCATTCATGTTTCCACCAAATAGAGCTATGCGACGCATAGATTGCATAGTAGAGCACTCTGAACACTCCAAGGTTAGTTATACGAACCCTATAATCCTTGCATTGTATTCGCCCTTGTATGATCCTCGTCGGAGAGGGAAGCTCCATGCAATGCAAGTAATGCTGGGGGAAGCATACACTTCCTATAACATGGCCCATTCGCGATCATTTGCACAATGGACACGATCTCTGAGATAGTCATGGATGGATGCGAGAAAGTAGGCTTTCCCATTTTTCGTTGTTGTTTGTTTGCCACTCCTCCCTTACATTGAGCAGATCGAGTAGCATACATTTTATTCTTCATTTAAAGGGCTCGAGCAATTTCAGTACTTGTTCAGTCGTAGCCGCTCGTGTCTGTTGAGACAAGTGGATAGAAACCTAGTCATTCAGCCCATTGAAAGTCCCTTCAACTATCCCAGCATTAGCTTACTACTTGTCACCGAGAGCAGATAGACCGAGAGCGCTTTCTTCTCTTCGTTTTTGTTCATAATTTCAGTGATCTGGCAAATTCTGAGGTTTCGTGAATTAGGATCTATTATATACTTTCTTTGGTGTTTTTTTGAGCGTATCATCCTCCTAGGTGAAAATGTTCCATACAAGTATTCTTTAGATATTTAATGCAAATTTTCGTTAAAAAAGATTCGATATCGTCCTGTAGAATTCTAAAGAATCTCTCATACAGATCCTTTATGATGAAACAATTTTCCATATATTGAAGATGTTTTCTTAATTCTACAGGGGATTATTCAGAATGAAATACAACTATGTAACTATCTTCTAGAAAACTTGTAGAAATTCTAAAGAATGCCTTAATAGTATGCCAATATTTTGATAAACATTCTACAGAACACTCTTATCTGGGTTTTATCGATGCGAAAAACATTGTTCAAGCAAAGAAAACTCATTTTTAATTGCATTTCTTCCGAAAAAACATTGTTTGGACAACTGCTTCACTTTGCTCTCACAAGTTGGGTTTCCGTCAACGGAAGGGGCTCACCTACGTTCCCCGTGAGATTTTATTGCATAACTGCTCACCTGTCAAAACGCCAAAGAATATTTGTGATCCTGGACTGAGAAACCTTGGGAAGAAGGGCATCAGGATTGCACTATGATGAAACAGACGAGTTAAGAAAGCGATGCATCAGGACCCCAGAGAGACTCGGAAAAGGCAAGAAAAAAGGAGAAACACGGATTCCCGCTTACCGATTCCCGATTACTGTGCACTAATGATTCATTATTTGTGGTAATGGGGAAGAAACTAATGTGAAACAATTTCCCGCAAGTTCCTGAATGTAGGTCAAGCTCTTTCTTAGTTTATTATATTATGTTGAATGCTTCTGAGGCAACGACAATGCTACTACGCGGAAGAGGCTCTTCAACAGAAGTTCATTGAGGTCACTTTCATGAACCAAGCACACTTCGGTGATGAGAGGAGCATATCAGGTGGTCCGTGGGAAGGAGGTGTAACTAACAGTGTCAAGAGAAGAGCCAACACTTCCTGCTCCCTTCCTGCATAACGGATTGCCCCATTATGCGATTCTCGAGGAACGCCGGCCCTCATTTGACTTTTGCACAGATCCGTTCATGAGGGTCATTTGGAAAGAGCAGGAGAGAGTTTCGTCTATTTTCATGCATGCAGAGGACGGGAAAAAGAGACAGCGGGAGATCGGGAACCGCACGATCGCTCGGGGGCCCACATCGTCCTCTGGTGTATTTGAATTGCATCGCTTTCCGTGGCACCTTAATAATTTAATTAGGAATAATAACTAGCCAGGAAGGGTCCACTTTCAGAGGTGGAATCGGGTTGATAAAAGATGATGATTCAGCGTGAGTGAAAGGGATGACTTTGTCGCGATTAGAACGATCTCTTCACTAGCTTTCCCTCTTTCTTCCTTTCATGTGCAATCGCGTCAAGCCAGCACGTACCTCTTTTTTTTTTAACCTTCCATTCAGAAAATACTGTCAAGAATCCTTCATTGTATTTTGTGATGACCTTGATTCGCACCTCGGGTGAATTCGTGCCACTTCGCAGTCTTTGGACGCGGGTTCTTCATCGGCAAACTGCCTGACGATTAAACAAAAGGAACTGTTAATTGAATCTCTAAGTGTCTGGAAATGGGAATATCATCTAAGGGGTGAAAGTGTGAGATATATCAACCAAGAGATAGACGCAAACAGATGGGAACAAACCCAAGAAAGTGTACTCTGAAAACAAGCCATTCCTTTGCGCGCCGGGTCGTCCCCATTCCCGTCGCGTCGGTATGTGTCACAGGATTTTTTTATTTGCACGGAATCCTTCGGTTCCTGACGGGAGAAAGATCATGCAACGTTCTTGACGGAAAATTACGGGGGAAGTGAAAAGTAAATTAGCAGATTAAAATACGGATTTCCATTTGCGATTGTTAGTAATAGGCATTGGTGTACGAATACCGCATTTATATTAATATTGATCAATAGGTTTGCATTTATAAATATTCTTTGAATATTTCTCTCACGGCGCACAACTTCCACGGTTGCATATTGCGCACATTTTTTCTCGGGGCGAACGAAAGAAGAGTTCGAAATATGTATTAACGATATCGTACATAAAATTCACACGCCTCTATTGTAGACACTTCATATATCATTGTCTTACGTCCTGGTATCGAGGAAAACTGGGAACACAATGATGCAATGCCTGCGATGATAATGGCATAAATACCTGGGGCAAACAAGAGGAAAAATTATGACCGTAATAGAACCGTGACATATTCACGATCGGCTACGACTTTTTGCATTCCAAAGTCCTCCATGGTCGAGGGTGTGGCGTCGCTAAATGGATGATGGCTGAGAATGTGCCGCCGAAAACAGGTATCAGGCAGAGACAATTGCTACTTATTCAATAGAGTTCCATCGTCTGGAGTAGAGCCGCCCTCAGAGGAAATCAGCCCTGACGCCTCAAGAACGTTAATACTTCTTATCGTAAGGAGATGATAAGATCTGAAAGACGTCATACCAAGAATATCGTAGAGGAGCTTTCAGCTGAATGCGTTGGACCTGAGGTCATCTCTCACATGCTCTCCCACCGACAGATTTACGCACACACTACATGCACCAGGTTCCGCGGAGAGAAGTACGAATGTGTTTTTTCTTTATGTTTAGAAAGCAGGGACACTCAACTGAGATTAGTGGTTCGGAAGGCAGTGCTAGTATCTAACGGGAGAGGGGAGAGCATGATAATGGGACGCAGGCCCTGCAGTACACACTCGCACTGAATGCGGAGCGCTGCCACGCAAGTACTAAAGGGAGTACCCTCACGCACTTGGTTACAGCCACCCCTCCCGAGGCTACAGCGGCAGAACGGGGATCGAGGGTGAAAGAGAGAGAAAAGAGGGAGAGGGACCCGGATTGGTACTTTTTTTATGTCTGCTGGCTGCCATGCGAGAGAGAGGGGCCGTGCCCGTACTTGGCCGGAGCAGACGACGCGAATGACGTCATAAGTACGGTGAGATGCCATTCCGCCATGAGTCGTAAAAAAACAACCGAAGCCTGGGAAGGGGAGTGAGAAAGAGGGAGAGGCAGGAAGGATGGGGGCCTAGGCCTGCAGATGCAAGGAATAACGACCCCCTTTCCCTTTTGTGCGATCACATATGATGCTAAGTTCCTCCCATAGTACCAGGCATGGCAGTGCAGATACAGTACCCTCTGGCCATCTCATCTCTCGTCTCTTCCCCCCTCCGTCCATTCTTTTCTTCCTTCCCTCTCGGAATACCAGAGAAGCAATTCTTCGTCCCTTCCCCCCTGGGGTCAAGTACCTCCACTGACGACGGACGATCTCCTCCCGTCGGGGAATTTCCATTCGCGCTATTAGTGAGATTGGGGAACCCGTTTTTGAGGACGGGAACGTGACCATATTACTAGACATTCAAGTCGCAGAATTTCGGGCTACGCGTATTAGAACGGAACGGAACGAGAGTGAACAACTTCCGCAGATCCACGACACAAATGGTGTTCGAAGGACGTTTAAACTGCGACAATCTTCGACTCATTGATACGTAGTTATGGCGCTATCTGGTAAACGCTCGTATTCCCCAATACCCAAATTTAATGCATTTTCACTTTATTTTCAACTTCTGCAATTGAATTCGCTCCAATTAGGAATTTCAAAGTTTTCAACTGAGCTCAGACAGCAGACAGGAAAGCATCCACTTAATCGCCCCATTCATAAGAGAAAATGAAGATGCACCCGAAGTCGCATATTAGTATGGGTTGTCTTGAACTCGAAAAGCTCATCTTTCGGTCTCGGGAGAGTGTAATATATGTTTTAAAATAACGGAACATTACTATCCAAATCATGCGGTTAGATTACGCCCCAGCTTTGGCAAGCCCAAAGTAAATTACCCTCCGACTCTGCACAAACTGAAGACTGCCAACCTAACCAAACGACATTGAATCGAAGCTCTCGTCAATTTGGAACGAATTGGCAGTATATATTCGTTCCTGACTGGTGAATCTTTGCACTGAATCACGTTCCTCGGAGAACAGCTGGACAAACCCCTTCGCGTCCTTGACGCTTTTCTCATCCGATTTCTAATCGGTGGTGAAGAAATGAATGACATCACTCATTCAAGAGTCATTCTCGTCCTCTCAAGAACGGGTAACCCGAACTCCCTCCTTTCGTTCCCTCTTATGGTATTCCGCTAACAATTTGGAGAGGCTTTTCAGGTTAAATGTGAAAATAATAAAATCAAATGTTACAAGGAAACTCAAATGCTTCGCTTGTACTGGATGTTGAACTTCGAGGAAAATCATGCCAGACATGGAAATTCAAATTCGACAGCCAAATACCATTCCCGTGCCAGGGGGACTCTTGTATTCCCACAACGCCCGGCTCCAGATGCACCTGCATGTAACGCTGCTACTGCAATTAATCTTATTTGGCAACCATCGATAGGTCAGGGTTAGTCCCGTTAATGGGTTATTACAAGACATTACTTGTGGCAGGTCCGATTCCGACGAGAAAAAAGTGGGGTGGGCTCTGGGTTCTGGGCTCTCTTTAAAAGTGCAACATACTCGTACAAGTAGCTTCAACAAAATTCACGGAAAAATGCTCTCAGAGACTGATTTTTATTCGGGTCGCAATAACTCTTGGTGGAAATGTTAATGACGTAGTCGTTCGCATGGGAGAGAGAAATGACTACTTTGAGGGAAATTGCTTGTGAAAGTGAGTAGATAATCCTTATCAGAAAATGAAAGTATTTTCCGCGACCTTTTGAGGCTTCTAGTATATTTCCTAGTCAAATGTGGTCGTGAAAAAGTCAAGTGTGGGATGGAAATTCAAATGCAACATTAGAACATAAGATTGCTCTAACCCTTTAATGCATGACGTAGCAGATATGCAACATTCCAAATAAAAATTTTTAGAATGCGTAGGTAGCGAACTCTAGCAGTAAGTTGGTTCGTAGCAGAAGTGTGACAGTCCAGTCCTTGTACTTAGTACCCCAGCTGTCGCTAGGTGCCCTGCATTCGTGGTGGCAAGCAAATTAAAAACATGGCTTCATCATGTGACAAACTGACGTTGCTGATGCAATCATTTTCAACTTTACACTAATCCAGGATCCAAGTTCATTCGTATTTTTACATTTTCTTTTGTTCAGAGGTGTGTACGAATGTTGATTGACTGACTGAGCTCTCTAACCTCCATGCAAAAGTGGGTTAGAAAGCTGAAAATGTTGTTTGCTGCAAATGTGCAACAATAACATTTTCGGGCCTTCAACTTACAAGTTTGAGAAATGAATTTTTCCCCCCACTTTTCCGTGTTCAAGGACCTAAATAAAACCTACCAGGTTTTTTTTAGCAAAAAAAAAATCATACATTAAAGGGTTAAGGGTCACAGGAAAGAAAGGGAGAAAGAACTGCTGGTAGAGGACAACGAGCGGACATTCAATAGCAAAGTGACTGAGTTGGGTATGGACCTTCACTAGTATCACTTGTCCATCTTTTCCGAGTTGGGACATCCAGCCATTGCCGTCATCACCTTCAGAATATGTAGGCCCAACCTATGGTTCCTGAACCCACAATCACACATCCTTAGGTGTTTGGAATTGAATAGCATTATGACGTGAGTGGATAAGCGACTGCTTCCATTACATGGGACAGGCGCACTTGATTGTCCTTATGCCAGATGTACTCATCTTGAAGGTGCACATCTGCCAGACTTGCATCATTTTTCTTGTGTCGCTTATGACCGCCATGTAGGGCAGTGTCGAATTTGAATGTCATTTGACTCACACATCATCACTGAGCTTGGAAAATCTATCTGTACTTGCGATCGGTAGTTTTCATTCTTCTTGATCAGGTATCAAATGTTGCCAATAAGATTAACTGTAAGAATGACGCCATATCCAAATGTACGGATCCATGTATTTGGGTAAATGTATGTGGATATGGAGCTGCGCAAAATGGAAGCGCAATGAGAAGTTGGTACGAGCACAAGCATCTGGCACGAGCGTGATCTACTAGCTGTCGCATAAGGCTTTTCTTATGTCTAACATGCTTTAAGATCTAATATCCAGCACAACGACGCATTTGATTTTCCTTGTCGCATTTTACATTCACATTTCCACATTTGACTAGAAAAACCTATACAAGAGGCGTGGTAGCACATGGTCCTCCCAGGATGGTCTAAGTCTTGGGACTGATTCACATCGACTGCGAAGAGCTGCGTTGCGACCACTGCGACCGTCGCAGTACGCTTCGCAACGGAATCGGACGAGTCATTTCCTGTCGCATCTTCCCAGTGGTTCGTACTGCGTATCTATTGACTGCATTCTATGGAATCCTTGGATACTTACTTTGGCCGCTCTTTTGGTGGTATGACTGCAGCGGTAGATGATGCCAATCATCATCATTAACTCTCCATGAGCGAGATACATAGACATACAAAATAAATATCCAAGAAAGGTCTCGATATCAATTATATTCCTGATTATTTTCTATTGTTTCGATCTCTGAATTTTAATTTTAATTTTTTAAGTAGAGGAGCACTTGTTCTTCGAGTGCAAAAATTTGAGTCGTAACCTCCTTTAAGAGAGTGCTGCATGATTCATACGTATTTGAGATATACGGAATATTTGTATCGAGTATGCATTTACCCCCCCCCCCCCAGCGTTAGTGCCACCATTTGCACTGGGGAAATGCATGATATGAAGTTTGCGTTCTGGCCTCTCCTCGCGCAAACCAAGGAGAGTCTTGAACAGCTCAGGAGACATTCTCATGGACATAAGAGGAAAACATTCCTTGCCTTCGGTGATAATATTTTCTATTTCAGTCGCGAATTCTCCCATCTAATGACGGGATCTGTGTACTGGACGTACCTACCACTGTTAAGAGCTTTTTCCCCACTGGAGTTGTAAAAAAAGGCAAAGTGTTGTAGCACGAGCCTTCCTATTGTATACAGACATGCTGGATTACGCTTTGGAGCTCTGCGACCAGTGTGGGAGATGCTTCGCATACGGTCGTAGTCAAGAAACGACTGCGAACTTCGCAGACGGTCGCAGTGCGGCTTTACCGCAGCTCTTCGCAGTCGGTGTGCATCGACCTTTTATCTCTACCGGATGTTGTCGATGACAACATCCGGTAGAGATTTCAACCCAGTCACTATAGGTGTAACCTTGCTCGTCGTGCCTATTGTTGAATTTCTTGATCAGGGAAGGAGTAGCACTTTTGAGGGAATTCAGGCATGGGGAACCTGCGCCATGAGTGATAAGGAGACGACTCATCCTTCTCATACATGGTGGTTGCGATGTGGAGGAAAATCCCAGTTCTGATATGCAGAGGCACGTTCCCAGGCTAATATAAGTGCTAATCCCTCACATATTGGCAGGATTAAGATCCCCAAGTACCAACATACATTACGGATCAGTCCCTGCCAGTCCACGAATGTCACACACGGACTCGTCTTAGACAAGACTATCTCTCGATATAACTCCTTTCTCTTCCACTTGGGAATGGAGCCTTGCCCATGAGACATGTAGATGCTCCGGATGACTTTTTTTATCGTGATTTTCCAGGAGAGTGAAAGAGAAACGACTCTCTGCATAGTGACTATATATACAGAGAGAAAATATCTCCGACACCGTAGCCAAGATACTGTGTGTGCTGCGTTCCTCTCATGACTTGAACGTTGGACCTATCTCGCTCTCATGTTCCAGAGCGCTTTCATCCCTTTCCGCTTTGCTGCATGGGATGACGACGTGTGCATCCCTTTGCTGATTTTTTTTAATTTTTTTTTTTACTCGAGTCCACGAAGCCCATCCAAAATATATTTATG